AAAAAAAGGAAAATCGTAAGAGAAAAGAGTCTCCTTGCAATTTGCATGGAAATGCTGCCACGTCTCTGAACTAAAATCGGTGCAACTATCGTATTTCGCCTTTTGTGTGTGCTTAGATCTTGAACGGTTTTTGGCATTTCTTTTGTCTGTGTACCACCGGCATTTTCTCAATTTCATTTAGGCTAAAATGATTTTCCTGCGCTCAGGGAAATTCCAATATCCGTCTTTCTTTTCAGCAAATTTTAACCTTGTGGGTGTAAAGATGGTTTGTACTTGGTTTTAATTTAAAGCAACAATGTAAGAGATTAAATATAAATATGTTTCAGTTTCCTGCTTAACATAATCGTCTATTTATTTTTCTCTGACCAAAGATAAGCTGAAACTGAAGAGTCTAAACCAATGACAGATTGTCTTTCAAATCGTCATTTAAATGCTTGTTTTCTTTTTACATTTTCTCTCAAAACTGACACAGTTTTTTTTTGGGATAGAATTCCGTTAACATTTATGGTATACTTTGGGCTCTCACACAATTGACTAATATTCTTGGCAATGCCAAATAAAGACCTAAAGTCGACGTAAAATCTATCTATATATGTATGTAAAGAACATATACATTTCCCCAGCACGTGCACGCCCCCGTTCTTTTCGTCCTTTTTTGCTGCCTTTTCTTCGAGTGGTGGGATCAAAGACAGGTCCTGCATACATACATATTAACTCCATTATGGCCAAGACAATCCAGCTAATAGAGCCGAAACGGGGGTCCCTTTCGCCTGGGTTGGCGTAGTAGTCAGTACTTGGGACTCCTCACTTGGGTATTCCATTCCCTTCATTCCTAATGCGACACCCAATCCGGATTTGTCAGCAATGTCCGGGCAGATGGTCCTAGATTCCTCGATGGATTCTGTTTGTCCCACTGATTACGCATCAAGTGCCAGTGGGATAGTCAAGAGAGTGAGACTAGAGAATGTAAGCAAATTGTCGACAAATGCCAAAGTGCTGCGGGTGAAAAAGAAAAAGCAGGCCACTTTCAATTCCGGTGGGACAAAACAGTAAACACGAATATTGTTTGCCATCCTGACTGTGTCCTGTCAATATGTGTGCGAAGGATACTTTTAGAGATATGTACGTGGCCAAATACAAAGAAACTTTGACCATATGCTGAATGTTTTGACCAGAAGTTTGGCGGAAGTAAATATAACTGATTTATTTTGGCAAACTGGCTGCCTGTCTGGGAAATGGAAATGAAAATGGAAACCTTTTTATGTGGATTTTCGTCTTATTATTTTAGGTGTCTAATGGCATGGATATAAAAATAGTTTTGCAAAGTAAATAAATACTAATTTGAGGTCACTGAAGGGGACGGAGTAAAAGTGACTAAAACAAAGAGTAAATCGATTTGAAATTCGAGCTTTTGATTAACAGTTAATTAAGAAACTTAAATACCTATAAATATGAAAAATTATTATGTATTTAACTTAATAAAGTACTTAAATATTCCATTAACCTATTGAATATAAACTAAAGCCTTAAAAATAATCCCCGTACAACAATTAAGTCCCTGCCTTTGCAATTGTTTTCCTTTACTTTCCCCCCACTCAACTTTTTTCACTTAATTATTGTATATCTTTGCACTTAATTTGCTTAACAAATAAAGCCACCAAAGTGTTAATGAAAATATTTGACTTTCATTTAACGAGAATCTCGTTTACAGCAATTTTCACTCAACGACTGCTTAATTTACGCTGCATTGCGTATACGCCCCGTGGCGCAACTCCATCGACTGACAATTGGGACACACACACACACTCGCACACACACTTGCACACACACTCGCACACACACTTGCACACACACTGGCACATACACTCGCACACACACACTCGCACATACACTCGTGGTAGACAAACAAATGTACGACTTAACAAAAACAATGGCATTTAGTGGAAAAGGAGGAAAGCAGAAGGTCCTGCAAGTCCTGGCTCTTCCCATATGTGCATTCGAGTGCAGCTCATTTATCATGCCAACCTTTGACTCGTTTGCCTCCTTTTAAGGCTAACTTTTCCCCATTTCCCAAGCGACTGAATCCATTTTTCCGAAGGGAGCAAACGTCAAACATTGAAGACAAAGATGCCCTTAATGAGCAGTGGCTGGCGAGTCAACAACTTTTATTTTATTTTCGTTCTAATTGGACAATTAGCGGGAAAGAGTGAGAATTGGGGAGAAAAAAATTAAGAAAAACATATATATCGCAAAGGAAACTGTGCTGCAATTTAAAGTAAAATTGTAAGAATCATATTAAAGAATTTAGTACACTAGGAGAAATTATTAACCATACAAGAAAATGATAATAATAGGAGATTTTGTATTATAAAGAGATATTCATTTCAGTTTTTTTATGTCTTATAGAACTGTGTACTTTAACCTATTGAAAAATGAAATATAAATATTTAACCATCCTTTTCAAAAATAAAAACCTCTTCCTTATAGTTTACTTTCCCAGTGTGCTGTACCAATATTTTACTCCTGAGTAATAGCTGCTAAAAAGAGCAAGAAAGCCCAAACTGGATAACAGCCATTCCACAATGCATAAAGTATTGTTGTCCTTGGACAAATATAAAACATAATGCGAAAAATAAATGCCCGAAAAAGCGTCTCCCTTTCGGAGATTCTAACACAGGAATGGGGGTGTAGATATATATATATAAGCAGCTAAAGAATATTCATGTGCCTCAATAAACCGAAAAGAAAAGATGTCCTTTTTGCCAGCCAACAGACTGGAGGCACTAAAGTGAGGCAAGCATGATAAAAGTAGGAACCAAATACAAAAAAAAAGAAAACGAAAAACGTTATGAAAATAAAGAAAGGCAAACAAAAGAAGCACAAACAGTGAACGTGCATTAAAAATATTGAGAGACAAAGTCCCTCCCCTGAGCTGGGAATAAAAGCGAAACTAACAATTAAAGACGCGATTTGTCGGCCAAAGAAAAGACATTTAAAGCGGATAGTGTATACAGATATAAATATATACATTTATATATAGAGCCACAGCGGATATAAAGACAATCATTGAAGTTCTCTGTTTCGGTCCGTTGAATGCCCGGCCAAATAAATAAAATTGATTAGAAACGGGAATGGCAGCAGCATCGATGCTCCTTATCTGCTGGCAATTTCATTATTTTAATGCTTCGCATCACGACCATCAAAACTTATGGCTGGACGTACCAATCTGACTGACAGGACGCAGAACACAGGACACTGGAGTATTGATTGACCGGACTCCGCATTCTGTCAACAATTTCAGATTGACAGTTTCAGTTCAGGCATGCAGAAGAATATTTCACCATATTGTCGTTTTACTATCTAAATTATTTTTAAGGAAGTTAACTTTGGCACGCCAAAGGAATTAGGAATTAAAACAATATAAATAATATATATTTATGTTAAAAATAATAAATAAATAATATAATGGCTATATATCAAATTAGCTTAAAATAAGTTTATAACTATAAAATTTATGATATTTGCTCTAAAAATCGTCCTATTGTTCCTATGTCGGCTATATATATGTATATATATATAGTCCACCTATTCGCCATGCTACTACTAAAATTATATAAAAGAATTCTCCATAGTTTCATTCAAATAGCTTAAATTTGTTCCAAAACAAATCTCGCACATCTGTGCATATGATTCCCAACTGGTTCTAGCTTCCCCGGAACGAAGTGACTGATACGTGTTGTGTTACAAAAGTTGCAAGTCATTGTTTATTAGTGTTCAAAGTTAGTTAGTGATCATACATACTTAGTGGCCATAGATACTTAATAGTTCATTACTGGGCATAGATAATTGCTGTTCAGAGATACTTAATGTTCATTGATACTTACTAATTAGAGTTAGTTATTGCTCATAGCTTAATTAAGTATCAGCTCGCTATCTCTCTCTGAATCTCTGACTCTCCCCCTTAATCTCTAGAGGCAACTCCTCTCCCGCCCACTCACACTCACTTCCTCTTCTGTTCTCTTTCCTCGGGGACTATAAATAGAGGCGCTGAGGTCGCGCGCGCCTCAGTCTGTCCTAGGGGTACCTAGTGTTAACATCGTTAGTGATAGTGATAGTGATTACGCTTCGAACCCAAAAACATGACGTGGCCAATGCAATACATCTGGATGACCAGGAAGAAGCTCACTTGGATGAAGTCACCATTCTGGTTCATTGTACTGCAAGGAAGTAAGCAATGACGAAAGAGCCACGTGTCCTCTACTGCGGTAAGTCTTAACCATGACATTTATATTATATATGAAGAAGATATTTGTGATATCAGATCTATTTCTAGACTTTATATTCCAATTTATTTCCTTATTGTCATGGTTCCCTTTACATACTTAGATCCTTACTGATAGTTTTAGATACTTTAGATACTTACTGATCATAATTACTTACTGGTCATAGTTATTTCAGAGTTACTTAATGTTCATTGTGACTTACTGATCAGGTTTACTTATTGCTCATAGTTACTCACTGATCATAGTTACTTACTGGTTATGGATACTTACAGAGATACAGAGCTACTTAATGTTCATTGATACTTACTGATCAGGGTTACATACTGGTCATACTTAACTTACTGGTCATATTAACTTACTGTTGAAAATACTTACTGATCCTCTACATTTAACAACCTTTTCTCTCTTCAAAAAACTTAAAACATAATTCTACTATAATAAAAGGTAGATTGCTTTGAATCCAATTAGTAGTTAACGTTGAGTAATTGACAAAGTAGCCCAGAAGGATGTATGGATTAAAATCAATAATCAATATTTTAAGGCATCTTTTTAAAAGATTTAAAATGGGTAAATATTTATATATTTTAATAATATATTTTATCTGCTATGACCAGCTATATTTTATAAACGTCCAGCGCCATTTCAATATGTCATAAATAAAAACAAACTAAAGTTTTTCAGCACCATTTTTTGGCCTGTAACTTTAAACTTTTAGCCCTATTTCTCTGTGACATTCTGCAGCAGCAGGAAGTACTGTCCACTTGTCCGGACCATCTGCAAATCAATCAAGTGAGAAGGGAGGGAAATCTGAGGGATATCTAGGGGCCCAACTCACCGCCATTAGCGTGGGCAGGGACATCTGCATGAACCAGGACACGTCCAGCCTGAAGTCCCGGTTCGTGCGCATCAGCATCATGGCGATGAGCTGACGGAACTCCCGCGACTCTCCGTACCATTCGCACTCGTAAAAGGCCCTGCCAATCTGGGAGCTCTGTGGAGGGAGAGAGAAAGATTAGTCGGACAATTAGGCAGGAGAACTGGGGACTTGGAAATGAGGGGATTCCCCCGTTGCGTCAACCCACAGCAGTCGCAAATCGCTGGCCATTGTAGCAGTAGACAACTATCTGATAGCCGGCTGCCAGCAGGTACATGCTCATCAGGATTATTGTAAAGCTGCTGTTCTGCAATGGAAATTGGAAATGGGAAATTTTTGGTGAAAAGGAACATACTTTTGAAGGAAACTCACCAATCCCACGCTCATCTGGAACAGCGCCAGGCCCCAGACAAAGAGACTTAGCAGGAACTGCGAGAAGGTGATGTGCCGGAAGTAGGCATTGATTTCCGCTGCAAAACTTTACAAGAAAAAAGTAAAATATCTATAGAAACTTAGAAGATATTGAGTATTTACCCTTGAATCCTTTGGTACTGATAAATGCAACATCGCAGATACTGAACCCTTCTATCCCGTGGCAACAACTCAGATGTGGAGTAACTAATCATTTGATTAAGAGACCTTATCAGTCCCACGCTGTGCAGGCACAAGACAATAAAAACTCCATCGAAACTCACGGCAGCTGCCGAAAAGATAAAAATTAATTCCAGAGAATCAGCATATATCTTAGAGTTACTTACCCATTCCGCAGATATACAGGGAGCAGGATTCCAGATACATTTGTATGTGATAATACGGAAAGGTCATGCCCTTGGGCTTCCAAGAAGGATAAAGGGACTCGAAAGCTATATATTATATATTATATAATGAATTAACTTATATGTATATAAAAGGTCTTGTCTTAACTCACGCAAAACAATATCGTAGGTTCCTGCGGGCAGAAAGAAGTATTGATATATACCAGTTAAAAAGGATCTCAGAAAGTATGTTGAAGTAAGACTAGCACAGCTGTAAAGATATATCAAGAGTATGCGACGAGTGTTGGCCCAATAACGTTCCATTGTACTCTCCACCTCCTGTTGCAGGGTCTTGATCACCGGTAGATCTTTTAAATAAATAACTCAAATAACTCGTAAATAATTAAGATTTATTACATAAACTTACCAGACATCTCTATAAAAATCTCGCAATTTTGAAGCAACTCATGACTACGGGCTCTACGCAAAAGCTCATAAATACGGCGATGTGTGAAAAGATAATACCACATCTTGAAAATCGAACTGAGGAACTGTAGGGCAGTGCCGGCAGTCTATAAAAAAATAATATGACAAAATATATAGTTATAGAAATATTTAGTAAATATTTAATCTTAAATTCCTGACTCACCTCAACAATGCGCGGTATTTCCTGGATATATTTTAATAACATGTGCCAGTGACCATAAAGCGAAGCTAGACTACTCAGGCTGAGCACCACAGTCCATCTGTCTTAGGATTAGAAGATATATCCTTTAGGTCCAGCTACCTTAATCCTCAAAATCACTCACATTCGCAGACGAGAAGGATAGGGATTCATCAGGTTGAAACCCACTGTATAAGAGAGTCGGATCATCTCACGGATGCTGTGATAATTCCGTCTTTCCACAGCCCTGGCCTCTTCCGGTGAGTACATGGTGACTAATTGAGGGCTAATTGTGTTAATCGGGCATTTATAAGGCCATCGAAGGGGCGTGGCTCAAGGGCCATGCTTAATTAGATAGTTCGGAGACAGAAAACCACGCCTCATTACGTGAGCAACGATGAACTAAATAATTGAAATATTTTCCGCAGGCAGGATAAAAGAAAAGAGAGAGAGGGGTGAGTGATTCTTGACATGTCCTGTGGATAATTAGCTCGACTAATAATTAGATCCACACCAGATTCAGCAGTTATTAAGTCCTGTGAAAGCTCCAAGGATATTTATCAGGAGTCTCAAGCTTTTTCAAGCTCCGTTGGTGTTGAACTTTTCAAAGGAATAGCTTTAAGTTTTGTCTTCAGCTTTTGGCAGGATAAATTCCTTTTTATAAGGGGTGGAAAAATAGGCTAGGAAAATTCTAGTACAAATATTTTACATTTATAAAACCTCTACCGCTGGTAAGTCAATTTAGCCATATCCACACGACTTTAAGCACTCCACATGAATTTTCTAATCAAAGTATTTCAAACCTCCGCAATTATCTTACAACTGATAAAAAAATCTCTTAATACGTATGTTTATCTTACAAAGAGTGTAAAAGATAATGGTCCTAAATCGATAAGCCTTATCATTTGCCCCCCCCCCCCCCCCCGTAGTTTTTCCCGGAAAACTCAACTTACCTGCGCCTATTTATTGCTACCATTCAAAACGAATATTGTTCAGTTGTAATTTTATCCTGACCTAGTGAAGATCTTATTTCAAATGGTTACCATAATCGATTTAAACGACGATTGCCTTTTAAACATTTTAAATTACCTAAGTCTCAGTGATCACATAAATTTAGCAAAATCCTGCTCGAGGTTTTACGAAATCATAATGGATCAGTCTAAGGCTATATATCCGGCATTTCATCACAATAAACCCGTGTTATATTATACAAACTCTGCTGTGAAACTATTCATGGTTCTGGATAACAATGTCAGGACTCTAAGCGTGATCCAAGGACATTACCAAGATGAAGAGGAACTCGGTAACGCCGTTCGGGACTTTCGGATACTCTCGCAAGCCAGAAAGAAAATTGATTTGCAAAGTTGCTGGAAAGATTGGCCCCAAATCGATGACATGTTCCGATTTTCCTCATTTTACAGTGAGAATTATTAAAAACTTGTTAAAACTCTTCTAAAATCTATTTCAAACCATAAAGGTCGGGACTATTTGAGTGTTAATATACCATCTTGCCTGTGCTACATGGAGGAAGTCTTTCGACTTATGCCCGACTTGCGGGAATTGCGAGTTTCCGGTTTTGCCAAGTGCTCCGAAAGTGTTTCAGTAATTTCAAGATGCTTTCCCCAGCTGGATAATCTCTCGATTCGAGGAGCTAGCCTTAAGCATCCTCTTGGCTTTGAGTTAATACCACAGATGAGAAACTTGACAAGGCTTTCGTTGAATGTTGGTATGCCCAATTGCTTGGAACCATTAACTAAACTCACCGAACTCCGATCTTTGTATCTGGAGAGTATGTTGAGTTATATATCTGCCCGGGAAGTAATCGAAATTATAGAAAACTGCAAGAAGCTAGAGTTCCTGTACTGTTACTACATAGATCACGCTCATGAACCCCATAATTCCATTGCGAATATCTTCAAAGCGATCAAGTCAAGCCGAGATCCCAGCATTCAGAAGCCTTTGCAGCTATATTCATATCTGGATCCTCCGCTGTCGGATGATAATGTAAATATCTAAATACATATTTATATATTTATAATATTTATTACATATGATGATACATTTCAGAAAGAACTCATCGATAGTGCATACTTCGTATATCGCCGGCTGTAGACAACCAAATGACTCGTAAAATGATTCTCGATTGAATATAATAATATTTATTTTTTATATATTTTGTATTTGTTTAAGAAATCGTTGCATATGATGGTTATTTATTACCACATAGAACTAAATCAAAATGGAAGATTAGCAAAACACAGTCGGATTTTCTCTCTGGTAATGTTAAGTTTATAAGTATAGTTTGACTAATAAATAAATACCAATAACACTTATCATTAAATTCCCTCCCATTTCACGGTGGTTTAATAAAACACCAATGTTAAATGTTACTCAATGGTTTATATATATTTTCATGACCTTTCGCTCATATAGATTTAAATACGCTTTAATAAATTTGTATGTTTTGTCAACGATGTCCGGTAATCATTTTGTTTTTTTGTTGTTTTTTTTGCTGATTTACAATCTTCGTCGTCCTCAGACTGCTTTAAAATGTATGGTATCGTTAGGTAAATAATTTAAATATTAATAACATTTGCGTTAGCAAGTCGTGTTTGCTTAATATCTCGTTAGTTTTAATTCAAGTTCTTAGTTCAATTCGTCTGCAGTTGCGACGTAAATGAATTTAAAAGAAAAAATGAAGGATACTATTAACGTAACACTTTGTGGGCCGGGCTTGTATATAAAATAAATATTTACAAAAGTTACAATTAAATGAATTGTTTGACGGAATGTGTGTCCTGTGCCGGCTTCAATAATCCTAAATGAATTGCTTACAAAATTTGTTTGGATGCATCAAGCATTTGTCAATATACGTACACATAGTTCTAAAAATGTTTAACTATATTACTTCGAGTTCTTGGCTTTAACATTAATTATCGAATAATGTTTTCTTGTGGTTTTCTCTCTTAGTGTGTTTCTTTTTTTTTTTTTGCTTTGCCTGTGTTCTTATCAATTCGAAAAGCGGACGTTGAGACATTTTATTATCGTCTCGTAATAAAATTTGTGTTAGTTTTCTTTACAGTGCATGGTTTGTGTGTGTGTGTTGAGTGTGTGTTTTGGTGTGTGTATTTGTGGTGAGTGTGTTTTGTGGTGAGTGAGTGAGTTCGAATTCCCTTTACTGATATGTTTCTAAGAGGCTACTCGCATCCTGGCTCATCGCTGGCTGATCAATGGCAACTAAACAGGATTAACGCAAAAGCCTGCTGGACAGATCATAGATCGGGATCAATGGATAACCCATATGGAGGATAGAAAGTCCCCAATTGGGATAACACCTAGGCCATTACACACACGCGCACGCATACACGGAATGGAATGTGGACATACAACATTTTTTCTGGATTGCAATATATATATATGTAATTGACGACTAAACACGCAAAGATTTTCAATTTTATTGCTTACGTATTCGGAGAACGCAACTGAGGAACTAAACATCGAGTCAACTGCCTACAGGGTAGATCTAACTAAAACTCAACTAACTAACATGCACACGCACACGCTCAGTAACTAACTATCTAACAGTATATATATGGGCAGGGACATACTATATAGCGGTCTCGAGGGATTTCTCAGTCCTTCAAAATCAGCTATAAAAGCACTCAAAAGTATGCAACAAAATGTTTGCAAATTTTACAGCATAAACATCTTTGTCGGAAGATTTAACCAGAGAACTATATGCCATTGTCCCTGAACCCATTATAAATAACAACATCTACATTCAAGCACTCTCTCTTGGTGTATATATATATTTATATATGGCAAATCAGGTTTCATCGGGAAGTTAAAGCCAAAAGCCAAGCTCTATCGATAAGCCCTAAGCCGTACACACACGCACATATACTTATAGTTATAGAAACGAACCTTTTTGGGGGTTTGACCCAACGATTTTCAACTACTTTTTGCTTGACATTATGAAACGAACGAACGATTTACATACAGATTTATGCAAATGCAGGGATCTCTAATTTATAGGGTGTTCTCTCCGACTATACATACATATATCTTCCTTTAGCTTGGCCGATCTCTGTGGTGTTTAGCGCGTGATTTGAAAAATAGTTGGAGCCATATATATATGTATATATAAATCGTATGCGCCTTAGATTGTATACATATATATGACATATATATATATAATGTGTAAATATGCGAGTTGCAATTGCGATGCGTGTATATTTTATATATTGTGTATATATTTATAAGTTGCATTCAAAATATGAATATTTCCGTTTCATTTTGTTGCTATTTAGGCTTTTCTGGTGATTTCGTCTATATAATCTTTTACTTTTTGTTCTGTTAGCTGTGTCCTGAAGGCGGTAAATAAAGGTTTGCTTTTGCTCTGTACACGAGTTTTGGATTGGGCTCTGCTATTTACACGACTCTGCCAATTGTAGCATTATTATATCGTATTATTTGTATAATGTATTATAATATATATATGCTGCATTTTGTACGACATGCGCGGCTCTGCAACATAGTTTTTGGGTTGCTCCTTCTTCATTATTTTCTTTTTCTTAATTTTTGTAAAAATATGCAGATCGAACCGAGACAGGGATCTGGATGTGGATCTGCCTGGGATCCCACCTTCTCTAGACTAGGATACTGTTCATTGCTTTTATATAATTCACATTCCATGTTTGCTAACTTTGCTATCACTTTGAGTTTTCCCTTTGTATGGTTTCTTATGTGGTGTGTTTGTGTGTGTAGAGTGTGGTGTGTAGAGTGTGGTGTGATGTGTCTATGTCTGTGTCTGTGCCGGGTGTCCTTGTCAAAGGATATACCCAACAGCTTGCTTACATATACTTGGCGCTATGTGTGTGTGTCCCTAATTGCTACGTGCCCTCATTGCCCGCTCCACGCTTTCCCTCTGTCCGTTCCTTGTCCGTCTCCCCATCGAGTCCTTGAAGGAGAGCCCTCTGCTCATCGTTGGCCTCCGCCTCGCCCTCCTCCTCGCGATCATCCTGGGCGGCGGAAGCGGCCTGACTTTGGCTGGGCGTCGCAGAACCGGAAACGGAAGTGGAGGCAGAAGCAGTGACAGTCGGTGGACTGCTTACTGGCGATGTGAAGGTCGTCTCCGAGTCTATTGAGGATTAAGAAAAAGTTACGATTAACATTTGGATAATAAAGATATATGCATCACAACCGATATTACACAGGAAGAGTTTGAACGATACTTGGCCCATTTTAGGTCTTGCATAGTTTTCTTTTCAATTATATTTGAAGGTTTATTTTAAATTCAAATTTGTTTTGGATTTTGCCCGACCTAAAATAGCTTAAGTTTCATTCCCAGTGCTAGATAGAAAGCGGCATGTGTGAGTGTGAGAGGATTCTAAGTGGTGTATTTATGAGCATGTGAGTCAAAGCTTAACATCGATCGGAGGCTAATCCTAGCCGGGTGCTAAACGCAATCTGTGAACAAAGAGCCTGGCGCTCGGGGTGAGTTAGTGCTGCACGGAAAAGAGGATCTCCTTGGACCTCCTTGGATCGGATTCAAGGATTCAAGTAATACTAACAGATCGCCGCTGCTCTCCGCGGGGTGTCAGTGTGTCAGTGTCTGTATCTGTATTTATGTGGATTCATGCAGATGTCGGGGATGCGGATGCGGATTCAAATTCAGATTCAGAAGGCGCCATCGAAGACGGTGACTGACGGCCAGCCAGCAAGCGATAGTGGGGAGACAGGAGAGAGAGAAGATACGGTTGTAGATGATTTCTGGTATCGTCATGGCCAAAGAGGACACCAAGACGCACTTACAGGATATGAGACAAAGAGACGCAGAGACAGGAGGGAGAAAAAGAAGGAAAACAAAAACGAACAAGCCACGGCAGTGAGGGAAGTTTACAAAGAATTAATCAGAAAATATACAATAATTTTTGAAAATTGAGTTTATAAATTAATAAATAATAATATCCCTTCACTGCCAGCTCGTCGCTAACTAAACAAAAACTACCACCTACCCAGACTGCTGTCCCGGGTCTGCTGGCCATCCGCTGAACCCGCCGACGCCGATGCCGAACCGGAAGCGGATGTGGCTGGAACGGTGCGTGACAAGAGCGGCTTCACCTGGCGCAAAGCCTGCTCTTCGGGATAACGCGGCGTCTGGAACTTTGTGGGCTTCGATTGCAAGGTCGCTGGTCCTGAGCGCTGGTGCATTAGGGTGCGGTGCCTGAGGGGTGGTGGGGATATAGACTTAGCTAAAACTGAATGAGGTAATTTATTCGGTGAGTAATCGCTGCCGGATTCGCCCTGTAAAATGTATTAAACAGATATTTAATAATCTATAAATTGATTATATTTTTATATATTTATAGGGACATACCATTACGGTGCCATTGTCGGAGACACCGGAACCGGACATGTTGTCCGCGAGTAGGCGCTCGCTTTCCGGATCGGACAGGACGCGCGAGACATCAGACTTGTTTTTCAGGATCGACTTGGAGCGTCGGTGATGCTCCAGATTGGGCGAGGCGTCAATCGAGTCTATCGATGAGGAATGCTTGCTCTCGAACTTGGCTGTGGAATGGATCATAATCAGCAGAGGTCTCCAAGGATATCTCTTAACTAAAAACCCACCTTTGGCGCCCACATTCTGTATGCCAAACAAATGCTGGTTGATCAGTTTGGTGGCAGTGGCTAAGCTCTTGCCCGGCATGAAGACCGAGCGCTTCTTCTTGGGTCCTGGTCCCACTCCTGGTCCGCCTCCGAATCCCCCAGAGCTGCCGCTGGCCCCTGGACTACCGGAGGCTCCAGATCCGGCTGCAGCCTGGCTAATTCCCTCCATCCTTCCGCCGCTGCCGGTATCATCGTCCAGCTTGGTGTCCTCGAATCGCGCTCGGGGACGTAAGCTTGGACTGATTCCGGAACCGGAAGCGGCAGCACTTGTCGGTCGCATGGCAGTGAAACTCTGCTGGAACCGCGTCTTCCTGTGCTTTGGCACTGAGTTCTCATTTAGACTGACCCGGCTGCCTCGCTCCTGTACATCGAAGCTCTGATAGACATCGTCGAGGGGACTGAGGCCTCCGGCACCAGGACCTCCTGTGGCCAGATTCCTCAGTGCCGTGTCACCGGAGGCGCTCTTCTTCACCTGGGCACGCAGGGCACCCGAGGGGGTTGTGGCCGGCAGACCCACAATGAAGCCTGTGGAGCTACTGATGCCCTGCTGCTCCCGCTCGAGTGGATTTATGTACAGGTTGTCCATATCGATGTCCAGGGCGCAGGCCTCGTCGTTGAAGTCTGCGGTGAGATCACCCTGCGACAGGAATGGATGCGTCTGGCAGCTGGCATACGTGTCCGAACTGTCCACACTGGCCAGATCCGCATTGTTGTTATTATTCCCATTGTAGTTGCCGCCACCAAAGAGGAGCACTCCGTTCGTCGTGGTCGTATTGAAGTTGTTGTTGAAGTTGTGATTGAAGTTCGACGAACTGCAGATGGCGGCTCCATACCGCATTGATGCGTCCAGGGGCAGGGCAATGGTGGTGGAGGTGGTGGTGCCATACGAGGAGGAAGTGGACGAAGACTGTGAGATGGCGGGCAACAGGACGGCCGAGCAGGACGAGGATGTGACAGGTGGCTGCAGTAGCGGCAAAGTTGGCGGCGGTGGCAATGCCAGCAGGGGTCCTTGCATCAACGGTGGCGGTGGTGCTGCTGCTGCCAGGAGTCCAAAGACACCCGCCTGGCGATTTGCGGCTGCCAGACGCATCTCCAGACAGATCGGCTTGTGGAAGTCGGAAGTTGGAAGCGAGATCACGCCCTCTGCATCGGTGTACTCCTTGAAGTCCTGCAACGAACAGGTATTTTTTGGTGTTAGTAAAAAGTAAATAAGATTTGATCTTTTAACACGAAGAAACACAGAAACCCAAAAGGATCAAGTCGATGAGATAGAGGTTTAAAAATATATTTTCATTTGTGTATATATGATATTATACATTTATAAAGTCATTTATTTATTTAAGTATTTAATTAATATACCTAAAAAATAAACTTCTTACGTTATTGCTCTTTAAATTTAAAGTTTCTTTGGGTATATTTTGTAAAATATATTTTTAAACCTCCATGTTATCGAAATTTCCTTTCAAACATATTTAGATCACCTCGTTTTTGTGTATTTCATAAATTTTACTAGCTGCTTTTTAGTGTCTGGTTAAGATGGGTGTACCTGTTGTCTGGAGTTAGTTTTTTTTATTGTGTGCGAGTCGGTTCTTCGCTCGATTAATAAAAATTAACATGCAACTAGGAGGCGCCAAGTAAAACTCAAACGTGCAGCGCTAATTGTTATAAATATATTTTATTGTGAGGGTTTTAGCTAAATTTTATTATTATTGTTTAAATGTTAAATGAAAACGAAATCAGTGCGAATTCTCAACTTGTTATTTTGCGGCATTTATATAATAAGACATTGGTATTTTAAAAGCATTAAAAAAAGGAGAAAGAGAAACCTACTAAAATATGTAATATAGCAGTAAGAGTAAACCTTCCTAGAAAGTTACTTTATATAGAAAATAAAACCCCAAACCAAGTTGAGCAAACGCCAGAAACTTAAAGATTCGGTTTCGAGAATTTTATAATCGCCTTACTTACCAGCTTGGGCCAACCGCAAGGAGTTGCCTTTGTAGTGGATTCCATTACTCGAACATTAAATATATATTAAGATATTCTAATTTGAAACCGAAATCAACTAACAGAAAAGTTCTAGGCGAGCAAATACGGAAACAGTCAGTAGAAAAAGTGTTGTGCCAGATAGTCGAGTGCGAATAATTAAAGTTGATAAACAAAAATATATAGATTCCATTATTTCGTATTTTGTTTTATTTGCTGGTTTTGTAATTTTCATTTTTTGTTTCATAATTGAGTGATAACAGGAAATAAATAACTAACAATTTGGTTTGTTGAAGTAACTAAACAATGGTATTTTGGTATTTATTGTTTTTAAATATTTTTGGTAACTATTATTGATTTTTGTTTGGCGTTTTGCAAGTTGCAGCTACTATAATTAAGGCTTAGGCCATTTTTTTTTTGCTAGGATATATAAATATAGGCATTAGGCTAGAGAGTTGTAATTACGTGCTTAGTGTAAATAAAAAGAATCGATTTAAACTTTCGTCAAGCCCTCCGTTCACTTTGGTTCACGTTCACACACATTAAATTAAATAATAACACATGCTGCTTTTTGGATTCCTTTCCTGGTTGCGTTCTTAGATTGCAGAGATTAGATTTCTGGTTAATTTAATTAAATTCTTAGAATTCGCTATGTCTTTCTTTAGCTTTCACGCGCAATCACGTCACGCCAGGCCCGGTTGATAACGACAGTAGGTAGTAACAGTAGTAATCATAATAATCATAATAATAATAATAATCGTAGCAGTAATAATAATAACATTTAGTTGTAATTTGTTTGTTGGTAGTTTAAAGCTAAGTAGTTAACGTTAATCGCTAATCGTAATTCGCAGTTCCGGTTTTAAGCGCATTCGATGCGCCCGGAAGTGACAGATCTGCTAAAGATCTCATTTCCGATTTCTATATCGACGGAGGGGGTCTTGAGAATCTGGCTAAACGCTATTCGCGCGCAATGGAATACACTCGCCATGACATCCCGGCAAACCCTTTAAGAAAAAGAAACGAAAAAGAAACAAGGTCAACATAAAAATTTTCATTTCCAAATCCAATTCCAATTCTCACACAGGAAGCCAAAATAAAATGAAAAGTTTTTTAAACTATAACTTGGAGTTTCAGAAAATGTCTTTAAACAAGTGAAATCAATAGAAATACTACCTCAAAGTAGGCATTTTCAGGAACTTTTCTTATTGTTTTCAAATTGTTCAAAATTTCTGATTCTCTCTCCGAATAAAACAAAGGGACAAGGACAATTTCACACTTTGTATTGCTTGGTTCTCAGGTTCTCTCTCTCAGGTTGGTGATTTTATAGATAGTATATATCGATAATGCCTTCCTCGAGCATCCTTTTGAGGGCCATATAGTTCTTGGGCGAGGGCGGCGGTCGGGCCAGCCGCTTGATGCTGTATTCCTTGTCATGGAAAATGCAAATGCGATCCTGCAATAACGTTCGTTTTGGTATCGGTATCGGTATCGTTATCGGCATCGCTGGTCTACCAATCCAACTACATGTACAGGATTCGCCTATTGTTTAGAAGGACCTATGCAAGAAGCTAGAGTCTCTACCAAATATAATAATCGGAGATGTCACAGAAAATGTATAGGACTCTTACAATACATATTCTCTATTAAAAATTTTAATACTTTTAAAAAGTGTCTAGAAGTATATAATTTGGGTACCAAATTCAATTAAGTTTACTTTATTTAAGATTTTAAATGTAGCATTATTTAAGACACATTTTAAAAGGCACAAGCTTGATCTTTTAATATAAATTATTTAACTAAATACTTTTAAAATGGTTACCAAAACAGTATATTGAATTTAAAATTATAACAATTTCTGTTTTTAACCTGCAATAATATAATAGCTCCTAGAATATGCGAATAGAAATCTATAAACTGTAGACAACATTTATTTTGTTTCTAAATAATATATATGTATCTAAAAATTGCTGGAAAAAACCTACTTCTGTGACACCTCTGAACTACAAAGTCGAGCCAGGATCGGAGTTCAATATATGCGGCGGTTAACAATTTTCACAGTCTTGCCAATGGCGGGTTATGCGGCGTATTTATATACAGGTTTATGTTTTCTTTTGTTTAGCATGATTATAATTAAAAAATTCGGTTTAGTTGGGGTTGTTAGTAGTTTGGGTTAGTTGGAAACGGTAATAATAAAAGAAATGGAACCAAAGAGTAGCCATAAGGATAATCTAGAGGTGCAGGCATGCGACTAACATAGAGCACAAGTACATGGAAAAGCATCTCAAAAACATTTTGCAAACGGGAACATCGAGTGAGCACAGCTACGGATACCGATACTGATACGGGATACGTATCCGGATCGGTCTCTGGTTACCTTGGTCGTGCAGAAGCAGCACTCGAATTCCACGGGCACATCCTGCTCCAGATTGTCCATCCGCTGGTTCTGCAGGTTCTCCAGCGCCACTTGGCGTCGCAGCTCGGCCACTTCCTATAAATAGTTGGTTGTGGGATCATTGCAACGCATGTGAATCACTCATAACGCATCGAACTATAGCAGTCGGGATTATATACATATATATACATATATCTAGGCTGGAATTTGTACATTAAGGTCACAGGATGCAAGGCATGCCGCATGCAAGAGTAACTCTCGGGATTATAAGTAGTTGGGTTAGCAGGAAAAAAAAAAATAATATCGAAAGGTCCTGTGTATTGCATGCAGCTAAAGCTGTGTGAGGGTGATGGTTATATCTATATCTAACTGATAATTCATTAAGTTTGACTTTACAAAAATCCTTCTGTTTTGTTAACCTATACCTAAAGTATAACCTTCAACAACTTGACTTAGTCAGCTGTTGATTTAGAATCATAATCAAATCCCCAAGCAAAGCAAGTCAATGTTTATTCTCAGATTTTATTCAATATATTTTTAGTAAAAATTTATAAAAGGAACTGCCAAGAATATTATATATTCAAAGACAATGATTGCTGGTGTAAAAGTCATTTGGATTGGTGAGTAAACTTATATCTTATGACTATTATACAATAAGCTATATAATAACTTATTGGTTCTACCACCAGTACTCTCTGTGATTCTCTGTGCCCAGGGACAGCCAAGGAATGGCGGCACTGATAAACGCTTTCCTTACCACAGTTCACTGAATAGTGACAAGGATCAATTTAAGGATACGAGTGCATACTTGCATTCAAAGTCGGAACTGATGGGAAAACTCAAAAGATCGCAAGGATTGGACACTAATGATAAACTGATGGATAACGATCGACTAGGTAGGTAGTAGTTTCAGCTCTTACAAAATAGTTTCTTTAATCTAATTAATCTAATTTATTTCAAAAGCTTCAAATATGGGCATATCGGGTGAAGACGATCAAAATATGCTAAACACCTGCCAGGTGCTTCAGAATTCTGGTCCAATTACTTACTCCAATCAGGCTCCTTATTATCAACAATTGGAGCAGCAAGTAAACTGCGAGGTTTTGCCCAATGCCTATGCCGAAGCAGATGAGACGGAGCAGAGGCGCCAGGATCTGCGCAATCTCGTCCAGCATTTGTATGTGGCCCAGGCGCGGGTCCAGCTGGAAGCTACCGAGATCAAGAAGGCTCAGGCGGTGGCCTCTGCGGCCCAGACCCAGTTGGAGGATTCGGCCAATCAAGTGCGAAGTGTCACTGCCTCGCTGCATACCGCCCAGCAGGAGGTGGCCGCCTCAGCTATCCGTGCCCAGATTGCCCAGCTTCAGCTGGCTGCTCATGACCAGTTGCTCTTCGCTGCTCGCCAGGATGTGGATGCTTTGTCCTCGCAAATGGTGGGACTACAGGCAGCCGAGGGTATTGTTCAGCCCAAGCTCACTGTGGATCTGCATGCGCTGTTGGATAAGCTGAAGCAGCCACTCCAGCAGAACGATCATCCCACTCCCGTACCGGCCATCGTTATGAGTATTCCTGGAATGCCCTCGCATCAACAACAGCAGCAGCAGCAGCAGCAGCAGCAGCAACAGCAACAACAGCAGCAGCAGCAACAGTGGCAGCCACAAGGTCAGAGTCAGAATCCTGGACAACCTCGAATGCCGGATACCCTAGGATATGCAGGCAGCGAATTAATGCCCAGAGGAAAGCGCTTTTCCAAATTGGAAAAATATCAAAAATAGATATTCCTGGGGATCCTAAGTATTAATTTTAGTTGATTTTGAACCTCCAGAAGATTTGTTCTGTGTAACCCTGTTGTTTCCTTTCATTTACAATTCTTTCTATATTTTTATATTCAAAAGCTTGCCTTTTTTACATGATAAAGGGTCCTACAAATATTATTCAATAAACACTTAAATTAATTTGTTGTAGTGTCTTGGTTTCATGTGTAGTTGTGAGTGTGATTGGTTAAATAAAACAAAAAATTCTTATAAAGACCAAATTTGGAAAATGTTAAAATGAAGTTTAGCATTTTCATCGATGAATTTAAGTTTGTATTAAAAAGAGCAGAATAATGAAGTTAGCAGAGCAAAAATATTGGCTTACAGACTGAGAAAATGTTAAGGGCTGAATTTAAAATAATGAAAAACTAAAACTATACATTTCAGTTTTGTATAAATCTACAATATACATATGAAACACTTCTCCAAAGGCGGCTGCAGTTATTAAAATTAGTTTTCATTCATTATAAACCAATAGGTAATATAGAAAACTTTACTTTATAAAATTTTGAGGACCTATAACTATACCATCGATGTGAAATTAAAAGACTTTTAAAGACAATTAAAGCTTAATATATTATTTAAAAATAAAAAAAAGAGAAATCAAGAGAATTCTAAGCAGCTTCTTTAGAACATTCAATCGACATTCTGTAAATACTCGTTGTTCTGATATAAAAGAATAAGGATAAGGTTCAGCATTGGTTTCAGCCACTGAAAAGAAGACAAGATCAATCCGCAAATCCATTCAAAATCAATTAAAGACAAGGATATTTTAAGGATATTTAGCTGTGGCACAAATGCATTCGAGTTGAGTAGAGTATAGAGTATTTAGAGTAGTTGAGTTCTTTGTGTATACTTTGAATGTACCTCCTTACTGCGTCCCCGTAAAATCTAAAAGTTGAAATGTGTATAGTTGTTGTTGTTAAAGAACTTGGCTTTTGTTCTCAAGAGTTTTTTTCAAATAATTTATTTCGTTTTTTTCTGGTAAACAATTTGTGGTGAATCAAATCAAAAGATAGAGAGAACATGAAGCTAAACTAGGGGAGAGACTAAGGACTACGAAAAAAGGCCGCCAATATATTTGGGAAACTAAGGAAAATACTCAGGGATATATTATATACGAAAGGGAACTCAAGAGTAATTTCACGCCGACTTCCTTGCAAATGAGAACGAACCAAACGTGAGAAATATACATATAATTTGGGTACTAATTGAAATTATTTGAGTATATTTCAATTCAGCTTCAACAGCTTGACATTTACTAATACGGATACAGTTTAGGAACTTTGAAAACATTAAGATATTCAAGATATATACGAATTTGCGAATATATGATAATGGGTAATGGGTCGCTGCTCTCTCCTGCGAAATCTCTGACTTACCCCTGGCGTGATCATCATCTGGATGGGCAGGCCCTTTGCCTGCGAGAGGTTGTCCTCGTCATCGCCACCCTCGGCGCCTTCAGGACCCTCCGATCCTTGGGTATTACCTCCGGGATTGCTGGGATTACTGGTGCTGGCGGTGGTGGCCACAGCGGTGACTGCACTGGAGGCGGCCACCAAGGCCAGGTTATTGGCCACTCCGGAGGATGCTGCTCCGCCATTCGGTGGCTTTAGTTGCTGTTGCTGCTGCAACTGTTGCATCTGCAACATCTGCTGCTCGCGTCGATAACTCTCCATGGCCATCATTGAGGTCTGTCGGGCATTCGGATTGTCAAAGCTGTACGGCGGCACTGCGTCCTGCTCAGAGCTGGATCCGCGACGCTGGCCAAACGAGAGGAAAAACGGTTTAATATCCTTCGGTGTAAATATATCATAGAGAGAAAACACACACAGAAAATCAAAATACTTTTATGGCGGACAGAGTACTTACAACGGCACGATTGCAATTTGATTAAGGGGCCAGGGAACACACACAACATATACATATTCATATATCTCAAATCATTATTCGAATCAATTTCATATGGATAGGTTTTGGTAGAAATAAAATAAATGATTATATTACCTTTACCAAAATAGTGTTTTTTTGCCCATTTTTGTAAAGATTTTGGGGCTGTCAATCTTGTTGAAAGACTTAATTTAAATTCCTGGCTTCTACAAATTTTGTTTAAGTTACAATTATTGAAGTCCCTTTAATTTTTTTATAATATTTATTGAATATATTTTGTTCCTTTTGTTTAACCTTTTAATTCCTTTGTAAATTTATTTCCCTAAGTAAAAACTTGTATAGTTCCCCCATAAATTTTAAAGTTCTGTACTATAAAACCTCTTTTATTACTGTAAAAAAAATTGTAAAATACTCATTAATTCTTCATATATTAAGGATTTCTTTAATTTCTACGTCCGAGATAGCAAATTTTTTGGGTAAATCAAAATTTTTCAAATATCATAACTTAGCCAAAAATGCATGAAATTCAATTCGGAAAGCTGTTCTATGCTAGTTTTAACTATGTTAACAAATCTGCATGCTCAGTTTAAAATGTAAAAATTCTCAATTTTTGGCCAATTTTTGCTAATTTTTTATCATTTTTTCAGATTTTGGCCAAATTTGGAAAAAATTGTTTTTCGCCCGGAGTAATCAGGATCGACGCAGTTTTTGGTGCTGATCAAGAATATATATGGTTTATAGGGTCGGAAATGACTCCTTCGATGTATTTTAAGCTTCTGACTGAAATGAGAATACCCTTGAAAGGGTATTAAATTACTATGCTAGCTTTATAAAAATTAATTAATTTATTGAATCTCTATAATCTTAAGATGGGTTTTCTTAAGTCTAACTTTGTTCAACTGTATATCTAGTATATCCTTTTATTAAATTAAGTTGAGATCTGAATGTCGAAGATGATTTTATATGTTATTAGTTTACTAATGAATCTTTCCTTATTGCAAACCTTCTTCTAAAGTTGTTCTAGTTTCTTTTACAATTATAAACATTCGTTTATAAGAATGTTTAATATATTCCCTTAACATTCCCTTTATTTTAAACTCCCCTTTAAGATCCCTCTAATATCTTTTCCCTTAGATCTTCTCCTCTGATTGATTCGAAACCCCAACAGCGACGACATTGAAACTCCCCGTTTTGGAATTCCTCATAAAACCACTTACGTGATGCAGATTCGAGTTGCGCAGGTTGGCTACGTGGTCATAGTTCTTGTAGCATCCGGTTCCGGTGGTGGCCGGATTGCGTCCGCTGGTGGATTCGCCCTCGGTGCTGTTGCCGTCCGTTTGCGAGAGATTGTGGCCTGTGGGCGATCGGCGGAGCGCGTGGGTTAAACGGTGCCAATTTTTCAGTGATCGTGTGTGACTCTCGCGCTTTTCTGCTTTGGCGGTTGGGTGGTGTGTGTGTGTTTTTGTGTGGATTCGGTGGTGTGTGGGAGGTGTGTGTTATCGGGTTATTGGATTATCGATCGTATGTTTTTGTTTGTTGTTTTTGGGTTTCGCGCAAAGAAGCCATGAATGCATTTTGTCGCCATTTTCGTTTCGCATTTGTTTAGCCGACAGACGCCAGTGTTGATATATACACAGGGATATATATATTTCACACACAGAGTATATATATTTGGTAATGAGTTAGAGCGGATTTTGGATTTGTTTGAAGGTGTTTTTTTTTTTATTTGGTTTTTTGTTTTTTATCGTTTCAAATCAAAAGAGGGAATAAAAAGAAAGAAAATGAGTTCCATGAATGTTTTATATCGTTCGCTGTATTTTGAGGGGTTAATAATTGTTACGACGACGATGACGACGGCGACCACAAGAACGTTGAGGGCTAAGTTAAGTTAAGTTTAGTTTAAGTTTAAGTTTTTTTAGTGGGAATACAGTGAGAACAACATTGAAGAACGACGTCTAAAACTTGGGGTTAAGTTATGGGCTTACTCTTGTACTTGTGTTTAGATGAATTAGAACAACATTAAGTTTAATTTTGTGATGCTAAAATGTCTGTTAATAACTAAGTCAACTAAACTAGAGTTGTTAGAATATAAGTTGGAGTACAGTTAGTAGTTGTATTTCTATTGAAAGTACAGGTTATTAAATGGAAACGGAAAAAGGGAAAGCCCTGCTGAAAATGTTGAAATTTGTTTAAGTACTTGATAATGTAGTTATTTATTTTTAAAAAATCTTTAGAGATATACTTTGGCTTCTATAATTTTTCTCAATTATATCCTAAAGTTGTGAATCTTTTATGAAAGCTTTTGCAATCTCCTTATATTATGACTTTTGTGAGTGTCTGATTTATTTTTGTGAGTGCTTCAAGTGGACGCGGCAAAACAAATGTGAAAAACATATAGTTTTTTTTTCTCTTATCACCAAAAAGACAAAATTCCGATTCATGGTCATTTACGCCATTCATGTTCTTGTGTGTGATCTTGTATCATTAGCATTTAACACAAAACAAAGAGGAGTTAATGGGCTGAACTGTTAAAGGAAAATGTGCCTCAAGGGACACAATGATGGTTATGAGTAAAATTTCCCCCAAATACCTTTCCTTCAACTCAAAATCTGGTCAAGACTTGAACACACCAAGTATTTATATGGGGGGAGGATTATCTTTTTGATTAGCACAATTAAAATAATACAGCGCAGTTGGGCTTTTGGTTTTATTGCTAATTTCACAGACACACAAAGTTGTTTACGGCTTTAACAGTATATAGTACACAAAAGTATGGGTACAGGACACAGTACAGTACGGTACAGCACATTTGTTTGGGTTAGTACGATATATATATTTACTATATGTTTTCTTTTCGATCGATCATACATATGGCTTGAGCATAAAGAGAGCGTACACAGTTTCTATAGATTAGTTCATAGGTTAGAGCATGCAGCGCGTAAGATTTGATATAATTTTGGGAACGAAAGCGATAAATATGTGAAATCAAAGAGGATCAGGGGGACACGACACACACATACAAGTAAATATATATATATATAGAGAGATCGTAGGGAAAAGAGGGGGGAAATGGTAAATGGAAAATTGAAAATGGAGAAAATATTAAGTAAAAGGCACGTAAAGGCTTCTTTTTAAATATTTTTTGTATTCTTTTGTAGCTTCTTTTCGGAGCGCAATGATAGAAATGTTTGAACTATGTGAAACAAAATGCAAATCATAAATAAAATCGTTCAAATATATATTTATAAAGGGATTCAAAACCTGTATAAACTGCTCGGCTCGCTTTTTAATATTTCAATATATTTTTATTACTTTGGGCTTAAAATTTAACACAAAAACTTCAGCTGCTCTATCTTAAATATATGGCTGCAAACTAGGAGCAATTTGCTTTAAATAAGGCAATTTTCATTTTGGTTTTACGTTGTGTCTTGCGTTGCGTTTTGAATGCGCGTTGTTTTTTAGGAACGTTTCGCCAGTTAATTGTTAATCATTTCGCTAAGTTCTCTCATCTCTAATATGGAACGAGTATATTTCATTTTGTATACCTACTGCATATATAGTACTATATATCGCTGATGCGCTCTCTAAATTATAAACTAAGCATCCCTCCTACAACTCCTTCTCCTCCCCTCACAGCTACAACAACTAATTTCATAAATAAGGCTGACTCTATATCTGTTTTAAGATATATATATCTTTTGGGTATTATTTGTTCCACCACTTGGAGTGCTTTTGATGTCCATGGAGGGAATTTTCTTTTCCTTTGACTAATGCGCTCGATAAATGCCTTTTGTTTTTGGAGTTTTACACAGAGGTTAGGCCTAGTTAATTGCTAAGATTTAGACTAAATCAAAATTGTGCTTACGCGGATTGTATTTTCAGAGTTTTTGGCGTGTTGTGTTAGCATTTTCCTTAGAGGTTATGTATATATGGGGGAATGTGATAATTCCTGGAAGATTTCCCGCAAACACACACATAGACACACACATGCTGCAACCCATTAAAGGAAAATAATAATCTCTCTTTTGTTTTTCCTGGGTACTTTGAAAGTTTTGCTTGAGGACGAACCAAATGTGAATATAGCAAATATGGATATAGACAAACTGGCAAAGGCAATCAATAAGTTACAATAGCAAATTTGAGAGGATCCTCATTGAGTCTCGTTTTTAATTTTTGGATTTCATTATTGTTTCTTTAGATTGTTTGTTTTTCGATTTTCAAGTGCTGATGGACATTTAGCAAAACTTTCAATATACGAATACAGTAACAACATGGCGTATGCGCAATTACGTATACTTAATATTCATAAGCAGCAGCATGTGTGTGTGTTTGTGTGGGTGGTGTGTGTGTGTGTGTGTGTGAGTGTGTGTATGAGTTGTCGCCTAAAAGCAGTTACATTTAATCACAACATTCAATTGGAAATGAAATCAAAAAATGGAAGTACACAATTCATTTGATTTTCTCTGATTGATTCGAAGCTTAAAAGCAAGCTAGCTGGCTGCTAACCAAAGGGGATAGTTTCTGGCTTTCTGGAAGTACTTTCGCTTAAGTCTAGGACTTGGTTGTGTGTGTGATTGATTGGTGTGTGTGTGTGTGTGTGTGTGTGTGTGTGGTGTGTGTTGGTAACAAATTGCATTTGCTTCTCGACTAATTTACATATATCTCTTCTCTTAGCTAGTTTCGCTTAGTGTACAGTTTTGTTTCTGGGTTTCGCTAGTTAGTTTCTTGGGTCTGGTTGTTGTTGCTGTGGTTGCAGCGGTTCGGGGGTCCCCCTTGATCCTTTCAGCGGCTGTCCTCGTTGTCACTGGAGCTATTCTGCTGCTGGGCATCCCGCTCCTCCAGCAGGCTGCGATTCAGCTCCTGGATCCTGGCGGAGAGGGCACGCCGTCGCGGTGTGCCAAAGGATGGCAGCGGCGGTGCCTCGATCAGTGTGTTTTTCTCGCCTATTTCGAAAATCAGCCGCATTTAATTTATATTTTAAGGAATTGTTTCAGTTTTGTTTTCAGTGTTTTTTATTTTTGTAATTGAGAATTTTGCAATTTTTTATCGAATATTTGTATATATGTTTTTGTGTGAGTGTCAAATGTTTGATATGATTTTTTTATTTTTTTTTTTGGGAAAATTCGAAAGAATGTCGTGAGCAGAAAGTAGAAAAAGAAGAGAGCAGAGAAAAGAACACGTTGTAGGTAGGATATATTTGGAGTCTAATATTTCTAGGCCTTGGGTGTTGTTAGCCCAACGACTTCGATTCGCTAAAGTACAACTACATTTTGGCTAAGAGAATGAGCATATACATCATTATGGGCTTTATGTGTAGTCGTGTTTATATCGCAATTGTATGTAATCAGCACTTGAAAATTTTCTAAAAATGTTTGTTTTGTATTTATAAATATATATATAATTATTTCTTTTTTGTTTTCTGATTCGAAATGGTTAACTCTATGTTGGGCATTCAAATTTGCTATGGTTTGTGTGTGGGGCGGTTCGAAAAACAAAGAATCAAGCAATGAGTAGCAAATTTTATCATCATCATAATTCACACAATTCACTTGGCAAATGTCCAACTCAAGTCAGCAATTAGGCAAACTTAATTTAACGGAAGGCAAACTGAAAACCGAACAATGCAACAAATTGCAACGAAATTGCGACAGCAATTGCCTAGCTAATCACTAGCTATATATCCTTGCCTCTATATATACAGGATGATCACGTCTGAGGAGGGGGCAACTTTATTATTATTGGAATTATTTCAAATTGCAATTGTGCTGAATGATATTAAGGCTTAAATTTTGTATTTTTCTTTTGAGTAAATTATGGAATGTTTAAAGGAAATGTTGAGTACTTGTTGAATGATTTTTATATACCAGATATGGCAGATTTTTATTTAAAACATATATTTTATAACTACAGTTTGTAAATTAATAGTTAAAGTATGAAAGTACATGGACTTCAAGTTAAACTCAACATTACTTTACCAAGTCACAACTTTTTAATAAATATACTTTAGTAAACATTGTATGTAAAGACAAATCCTTTGGGTTTTGTTAACTTTTAAAATTGTAGATTCAAATTACAATATTTTAAATAACATAAATAATTTCCTTACTAATTTAAAACTTATAGAAAGTATTAAAATCCAGCACAGCTGCAATCTCCTTTTCTAGATTCTTCATTTAGCAAAAGCTAAATACAAGCTAAAGCCGTGTGATTCTCAACCTATATAAGCTAAGATTGGACTATATTTTATACCAAATATACTAGGGATACTATAAGAAATAGAGAGATAGAGAGAGAAAGAGATAACTCCAGAGAGAGAGGTAGTGTGCGTATATATTACAATATATTGTGAGGCTGTAGTTTGGCGCGTGTTTCGTGTCCTGTGTATTTATGTTTTGTGTTTCTAGCGTTTTTTGTCGAAGGCTACTACTTTTAAAGGCATTTTATGAAGAATATATTTATATAGATACTTTTACTGTACGGCGGTACGGATATATTAGGGTGGTGGGCTTAGTGTGGACTAGGCTACGTATACGCAATGTAGTCACCTGGAGCGCTTTGCACATCGAGGGTCTGCCTGCCTATATTGGGGGTGCTTTGTCTTTTACCCTTCGGATGCACGACATTTGTTTGCTTGCCTAAAATAAAATACACACATCGGAGGGTTGAGAGCTTGAGCGGGTTTAGGGTTTAACGGAAGGGGCTTTCAGCGGCTTTTGTGAGAGATTCCATTGCCTACTTGTAGGCGCGCGGGTTTATTGTACAGCAGCAGAGGTGGTGTGTGTAAGAGAGACTGTGTGTGTGTGTGTGTGCTTTGTACAAGTGAAAAACCCTACTAATTTCCCCGTTTAATGCGCTAAGTACAAAAGCATTTGCCTAATTGACCATTATCTGTATCGGTGTGTGTTGTCTCTTGGGGTGTTTTCTGTATTTTATTTGTTTTGATTTTGTATTTGTTTTGTGGGTCTACGAAACTTAAGAGTAAGTCAAATCGCTTAACTAGTTTACAATTGATCAAAGGTTCAACAATTTCTATCATCTTACGGCTCAGCGCAGTCGCAGGACTCTCGTCCGACTCCTGTGAAATATGCTATTTACACGCCTCTTGGCTGGATTCTATAGATACAGCTTCGAACTGAATAAATTACTGAAAATAAACCAATTTCAACTGAGGGAGAGAAAAAGCGAAGAACAAAAGTGCATGCTGAAAGTAAAAGTGTACAAAAAAGTACTGCCAAAGCTAAAGCATAAATCTACACAAGAGTAAGCGAAGTAATAGGGGGATATAGAGGGATATACACAGAGAAATATATATAAAATCTAGTTTATATATTTTTCTGTGCTGATATTTAAGAGATGGTGGGATAGTAAGCATAGCATGAGGCGAGGGATTCAGGGGGTTGTAAGGGTCTAGGAGGCAAGGAATCAATCCCTTTTAGTGGGACTTTGTTTTAGTAGATACTTAAGGCAAGGCACATAAATATATATAGTTATATAGATAGTTAGATACATTGATAGCTAGTTGAATAGCCACGTAATTGAACTCTTACCTGTGTCGACAATCACATCGATGAGATCCATGGACTTGGCGAAGGCATCTTTCAGATTGATATGATGGAAGGAGACAATGCTGCCCTCGCGTTTGGCACGATCGAGTGCCTCACGGCGCTTGAGGGCCTTTTCGCGTCGCATCTGATTCTTATAAAATTCAGCAAAATTGTTAACGATGATGGGAATAGGCAAAGCGATTACCAGAACACCGCATATGCAACACACAGTACCAATAACCTTTCCCAGTGCAGTTGTGGGATAGATGTCCCCGTAGCCAACAGTTGTCATTGTAATACCCGCCCACCAAAATGTTTCCGGTATTGAAACGAATTTTGTATCCTTTTCATCCTTTTCGGCAAAATATGCCAGCGAAGAAAATATGAGAACGCCCATGGCCAGGAACAGCATTAGTAGACCGAGTTCCTTATATGAGTTACGCAGCGTAAAGCCTAACGACTGCAGGCCCGTTGAGTGACGGGCCAGCTTAAGGATTCGCAGGATGCGCATGATGCGAAAGACCTGCACCACCCGACGCACATCCTGGAACTGGTCCGTTGCATTCTTATTCGTTTCCAATAGAAATAACGAAACAAAGTATGGGAGTATTGCCAATAGATCGATTATGTTAAGGCCGCCCTTAAAGAACTTCCACTTGTCCGGCGAGGCGCTAAACCTAAGTATGTACTCTAGAGTGAACCACGTGATACACACGGCCTCAACCATTGCCAATTGCGGATTATCCTGTGGTGTACCGTTGTCAATGTGTTGTAGTTGTGGTAGGGTGTTCAACGTCAGGGCTATGGTAGACAGGACTATGAATAGTATGGATATCACTGCGATAACCTGCGAACGGTAAAGAACAATCGAGACTTTGTCGAGACCATGATTCAGCAACGATTCAATTTTCAATGCAATCAAATCACAACGATAATAGGGTATTGTATTGATATTTTTTTAAAGTTTTTTTTTAAAGATATTTTATGTTTTGTTTTGGTATTTAGGTACATAACACGATACGTTCATTCAATAATATAGTACGAGTAAGTCTGTCATTTATACACAGCTATTTTGGTTTGGTTTAATTAATCGAAAAAACATGGTTACAACAATCAGCAAAGTTCAGCGAGTTCTCCTCATAAAGAGTTCACTTTGATTCTGTTTACTTTCGGGTTTTGTTTTCGGTTTCTTGTATTTTTTTGGGGTTAAGCAAACATTTAGTTAGCTTTTCTGATCGAAGCTCTAGTTTCGGGGTTGTTAGTCGAATCTTGGCCTGTTAATAACTCGTTTCCTAAGGCAGGACTGCTCATGCAGAGCACCTGTTTATGAATAAAATTCATTTGAGAAGATTTTCCTAGGTTTTTCGTTTCATTTCCTATTATATAAGTTTTTGTTTCCTATATCCTTTTCGTTTCATTCAGGGTCTTGACTTGGTTGGTTGGCTTTCCTGATCGGTTTTTCAAAGGCTGCTGTACTATATGTGAAGTATATATTTTATTTGTCGTGAATCCTTCTTCATCAAATAAACCAACGAAAAAAAGAGAGTGAAATCAAAGGTTGTCAACAAACGAAAACACACAAACGAAAACATGGGTTGGGTTTTTATAATATATATTTTTCCTAGGTCTCGAAGGAGCTCTCGTTGGGCTCAGTGGGTCTCTAGTCTAGATCAACTCTTTCTCTGGGTGTTGTTGGGTGTGTGTGGGCTGTGAGTGGGGCAAGTGGTTGATTGTTGTAAGTGGCAAAGTGGTTAGTGGTAAGTGGTAAGTGGTTCGTGGTTCGTGGTTCGTGGTTCGTGGTTCTGGTGGCTGGTTGTTTAAGTGTGTATATATTTTGTTGTGTGAGTTTAGTTTGTTTAGTTTGTTGTGGGGACAGATCACATGACGCAACACAAGGACATAACACACCTACATACATATTTGCTATACGTGTGTGTGTCTAATTGGATCTATATATTATGGTATGAGGGTGAACCAGGGGGGGCACTCCGTCGTCAAAATAAGAGACGCTACCCTTGGGGACTGCAGTCGACTTTATAATCATTTTTCTTTAATCTCATAATCATTCTCATCCAAATTAATCACCATTATTCGTTACCAATTGGACAAACAATTTTGTAATTTTCGATGTGTTTCGCTCATTCGCTGTACGAGTATGTGTATTTGTTTTTTATAATATTTGTTTTCTCTTGTTTTTGGAAAAATCGGAAAATGATGGGTGTCAGAAATCAAAGTACATATCTTAAGGATGGGGTTTTTTTATATGATAGTTCTAGCAAATGACAACAAAAAGGAAGAAAATCTAATTTAAAGTTAAATTCAAATTCAAAGTCAAATTCAAATTCAAATCCAAATGCATAACTTTCCTAGCAAACGAGCTTAAAGGTATTACAATTACGAGATAAAACAAGAAAACGAAAACCAAGTGAGTAATTTGAAATTAGAAATTACATATTAGAAATTAGAAATCGAAAACTGGGCCATCAAATAATTGCATCTGTCACACAGATAGCCCTGAAATTATGCATTTATTGGACGGATAGATTCCTTTCAATATACACAAACACACATAAACAATTTGAATTATTGGTTTTGTTCTAAATAATACATTTAATTTACCAAAAAATCTGCCAATTGCAGACATTGAAATGTTTGTTTTGTGTTTCGGAGAGGGAGGAAATTTTGGATTGGATTTTTCAAAAGGGGGTGGTGGCAGAGAGGACCTGTCACAAATGCGAATGCAAAATTTCATTTGCAGTTTCAATGCCAGATGGAAAATGAAAGCTGGAGGGCACCTCCTGATTGCCACAGGCTGAATCTGAATCCGAATCCGAATCTGTATCTGGGCTTTATGTAGTGTCTATGTGTGTGTCTAAGTGAGAGGCTGAGTGAGAGTGTGGTATGTCTTTTATGTCTTGAGAGGCGGCGTGTGAGTGTGTGACTAATTCCACAGGCACAAGTTTCTACATTTTTAAAACTAAAAAATATCATCCCTATAAAAATGACCGATAACTTTAAAAATCATAAACATAGCAATATTTAAACAATATATTTCCTTTTTATAAATACAACCAATCAATTATTAACAAGATGTACCCATGGAATTAGCCAAATTGGCATTCGACTAGAGGAATACAGATATAGAGAGGCAGAGAGTGAAAGATAGAGGAGATATAGAGTTATAGATTTATAGAGCTTGAACATCTTGGACATGCCACGCCCCCAAAGTGGTGGTATGCATAGATAACTCTGTGAGTGTCCAGATCTACCATAGTAGGCCACTGTACGCAACCACGCAGTTCTGGTTTCGGAAACGGAATCGGATCTGGAATTGGATCTGGAACTGGATCGTGGATCGTGGATAGCGGATATTGGATTTTGGATCTTGGAAAATGGTGGGGGGAATGCTGAGGTTTAATTTCTTATTCGACATTTCTGCGTCGCTGTTGGATGAGCTGACTTCTCTAGTTATGGCTTTATGGCTTGTTCTACGTATATAGATACAAAAGGTTAAAGATACAGATATTATGCAGTTATTAGACAAAAGATACATATAGTCAAGAAGGAGAGTCATTACGTAAGGATAAACAAAACACACACTAAAAGATACACAAACTCACAAGGAACGTAAAAGGAGTAAAAACGTAGAACCAAAAATAGAGAGAGAAAATAACTTGATGGTGCTATTTAGCTAGAGCTTCATACGATGAGAAGTAGAGTATTACAGATACAAGATACAAGTGCGAAAGAGGTCACACCAGGGGCTAAGAAAGAGACAAAGATAGTAACAGGTAGAGAGATAGGGATATGGCTATAGTTACAGAGAGAGAGAAAGAGATTTAGGGGACAGAGATAACTGATTGCAATTGAAGTGGTCTTGGTCTGTTTCAAACTTCGGGAAAGTTAATTAAATTTCCAGAGGAAATTCGGGGAAAATGTGGGATTGAGGCGGAGGCGTAGGCGGGGGCGAGGGCGGGGTAACAACAATCTACTTGAGATGGTGGTGAAAACTTGTACTTTACAAACTAATTTACTTTCGATTCTTATTTCGCTTTCGATTTGAACAGAATGCATTGGAGGGATGCTTCGTAAACAAAAAAGTTTGTGTGCGAATTATCACTTTGGCATACTGGGTTTTGGATTTTGGAACTGCTACCATTGCTGCTCAGTCATGAAGGTGGTTTTTTGGGTAGGGTTTTCGGTTTCTAGGGTTCCGGGATTTAAGGGGTTTGGCTGATACAGGGTTCGCTGGGTTGAAAGTAAAACATGATATCGCAAATACTCCAAGTACTAGCTGGCTTACTTGATCACAGTCTCGTTTGTTTAACTAAATCAAAACTGAAAAGTTAACTGAAAAATGCACACTAAAAGAAACTCACAAACTAACTACAAAGTTCAAAGCGTAGCCAGTCGCCAAAAGCTGTATCTTCTGCTGCTGCTGCTTGAGGCCTACAAAAACTCAAAAATTGTACTCTATAAAGCCGCTGACAACAGAGCCACAAGATTTACACAAAAATGGGGGAAACTCAAAGCATCAAAGGAAGCTGATCATCGGCTTTCCGAAGTTTTGAGATACTTTTGCAAAGTTTTTAGGTAAAACAAATTATATATTTTATATTTATGGGGCTTAAATGGAAAGTTCTTTTACAAATTATAGAATTTTAAAGTTGATTGAAGTTTACTAAATCTGGAATACTTCTCTTCTCTAACAATAATATTTTATAAGTTAAAGATAAGGGTTTACATCATAAATATTTGGAAAAATTGGCAAAAAAATTAAATTTTTATTTAGTATGCAGATTTATTAACCTAATAAAAACTAGCACAGCACAGCTTTCCGATTGTAAATTAATAAATTTTTGACCTAGTTATGACCAATTTTCTCTGCAAGGATTTAACAAATTTCGGGTTCCTGAAGCTTAGCTTTCTTCTTGCTATTAACTTTATAAGTTATCAAACACAGACCATTTCCAAATGTTAATAATTAAAACATTAATAAATCTATAACCTTTGCAATGGCATCCAAAATAGGATATTTAAATTTGAATTAACTTCCCTGAACCTGGCTGAAATCCACTTGAATTACAAATTATGAAAAGTCGATGGATAACAGAACAAGATCTCAGGGTAAGGTGAAGCAAAGTGTGTAGAAAGGTAAAGGTGACAGAGACAGGTGAAAGGGTGAGGAGGGCATGAACTGATTGGTGGGTGGAGACGGAAAATTAAGAAGGAAAAGTCAAAAAACAGTCAAAAAACAAGACATGCGACAAGAAAACTGGGACAAAAGAGTTTCGGTATATTGAGATATATACGATATTTTATAGAAATATACAAATTTACAATCCGTACTAAACTAAATCTAGATCAAAACGGGGTATATTTGGGGTCGGAACTGAAAATTACATTCAATTGAAATTCAAAAAAGGGGTGCAAGACTCGAGCTGCTTTTTGCTCAGTGTGTCGCCGTGTTTGTGTGTATATGTGTGTGTGTTTGGTGTGTTTAGGTGTATCTGTGTGTCGTTTTTGGAAACCAAGTTCCGGCTTAAAAATATTTGATCAGGTTTTTGCATTTTGGTTCACGTGAAGTGTTTTTCTTTTATTTAATATTTACGGGTTTTTTGTTCGTTTTGCGGTTTCGTTTTTCGGTGTTTTTTATTATTTTGGGAGGTTTTGGTGGGAGATTGTTGGGTGTTTTTTATTTAGTGGTTTTTCGGTGGGTGGTGCATGAGTTGGTTCGCATACTTTGTTCGACTCACTAAAAAACAAACAAAATTCGATACAAACGGCTATAGAATTCAGTACGAATCGACTACGACGAAATTCTATACTAGTGGCATTCAAATGCAGCAAATTTGGTGGGTTAATATTTCAAGTTGGAGATTTTGTTCGATCGATATTCATTGTTCTTTGTTTTGGGTACGGGGGGTCTCGTAAACCGAATAAATCAAAAGACTAAAACTAAAAGGGGGTGAAATCAACGGGAAGACTATGAATAATATCATTTGGATATTTTCTTCTCTACTTTAAGGATGAAAGATAGAACTCTGATTGGAAGATGCTGACTTTAAGAAAGGGGTTCTAAGAGAGGCACCGTAGACGTTTCTTCAAGTGTATCAATTTGTGTATAATTGTTGTGTGTGTTTGTTTCAGTGTAAGTGTGTCTGTGTGTGTGTGAAGGGGGAAGGAGAATAGTAATCAATTGACCAATAGCTATAAAGGTAATCGGTTAAAAACACAATAACTAGGAGAGTTAAATAAATTTTCTTCCAGATGCAATACACACGAGTTTACAACATGACATCAAATATTCAAATATAGAAAATATATACGGTTTATATACGACATAGAGAGATATGTACATATATCATAGTATACCGCCAATGGGAACGAACGAAACGGAAACGGAAATGGAAACGGAAAAGGTCAACACAAAAGGCACACAAAACAACTGAACAACAATTTTGGATTTTATAGTTTCCGTTTTTGTAATTGTTGTTGTTGTTTTTCGTAGTGTATATATATATATAAGAAACAAAATATGGGTAAAAGTTTTTTGAATATTTTTGGAGTATTTTTGGGTATTTTTCTTTTGTTTTCATTTTCTGTTTGTTTGTCTTGTTAGCGAGCTTTTGTTTGTCGCTTTCAACGAGGCGAAGATTTCAACTGAGTTTTCTGAGTCGGATTTTGTTAACTGCTTTTTGGTTATTAGATCAGAGCTAGATTTGTTTGGTTCTCATATTTATCATTTCGTTGAAAAAAGGATGTGTTTAGGCGTGGTATTAAAAATAAACCAAAAAAGTACAGAACTTAAAAATCTTTGGTTAGTTTCTTCTGTCTCTCTGACTGGAAAAACTAGAGTTAGTTGTCGAAGAAAAAACGTAAAAATGAAAATACGATAAAAAGTACAACTGGCAAAGGGCTCTGGAAATTTTTCATTACCTTTAAAATGCAACAGAAAAGTTGAAAATAAAAAGTCGTGAACTTGTTTGTAAACTTAAAAAACACGGAAAGAGATTTCATTCTTGCGAAAATCTAAATAAGTTTTTAGAAATTTCTGAGAATGCTTTCCACGTTTCAAATAAAATCAAGAAAACTTAAAAGAGTAAACCTAAATGAGAGTTTGAAATAAAAAGTACATAATTCAAATAAAAAGAGAACAGAAAATCGAATGAAAAATTATAGGAGATGCACCCAAATATGTTGTAATTATTTCCATTCTCCCACCAAAATATATATATAAATATTTTTGGTTAAAGCCAAAGCTGATGCAGAAAATCGGGGCAAATTATCGGCTGTATATTACAAGCTGAAGCCTCAAAATTCGGGGTATTATGCGAGTGTTTTGTTTCATATGAGATTATTTATAGATGTGTGTATGTGGTGTGTGTGAGATAATGTGTTCTGCCCGGAGGTTGAAAAGCTAAAGCTTAAGATCGGGACTATTAGGATGTATGGTACAAGATCTGGGACAGAATTAGGGGACTGTATGCAAGTCCCCCGAAATATTCCGTCCGGAGACCCAAGACCTAGTGGTACTTTCCCCCCTAGCACATGGAAAATGGAAATGTATTACAACACGAATATGGCCACTTCTCCCCAGAGTCCTTGTTCGTTACAATATTTTCGAGGATTTCTACAGCACACCTGCCGCCTGGTCATATCGCTTATTGCCCATTCCCAAACATTGTTACATGGGGTTGTTTGGGGTTTTGGGGGAGAAACAGAGAGAGATTAACTTCACCATCATCATCAACAATTAAGAGAGATATACGTATTAATTATAGTAGAGATATATAGATAGGTTTATATATATATATATTGTATGTATACAGGGCTTGTCAATTTCGCAAAAAACTGTGTGTGATGTAAAAAAGACTGGATTAGATTAGAAACGATTATTAGTAATAACAATTTTGCTCGATCAGTGCTAGCTTGATCTTTATGCCTTTTAAAGATTCGAACTCTTCTCTGGGTGTCGTTGCGTGTTTCATTTACACTAAGACTCAAACTAAAACTGAAGAAACTCAAACTAAAAAAACATAGAATGCATCTTAGCCTAGAATATATGGGTGGGGCAGTGGATCGGTTTAATTGGGGAGTGGTTTAGGCGAAAGCAGAAATTATAAACTGAACTCAAATCAAACTCAAAAGTGCCGAAAACTCTTTCTCATTCTTTTTCAACGTATTTGCGTGGGTTACTCTGATTGCAGATCTTGGGACTTCCGGTTCCGTTCGAGGGAAGAGAAGACTCTATCTGTCCGTTGTAGGTCCAGTTTCGATCTGTACGATATATGCGTGTGTGTGGGGCACAAAAGCTGGAAGCACTTCGTATATGGAATATTCACACATGAGCCAGCGGCGGTATGTACAAAACATTGATGTGGGGGATCCCAGGGGATCTGAGCGCCAAGAAGCGGCATTATATATGGATATTATCGGCGTACAGATAACTGGCGGACATTCGAAACGAATAGCTTTGTAACCAGTAACAAGTAACGAGAATAAGTAAGGAGTATATTATATGTCTTTTCCGAGTGCAAGCATATATCGTTGTTATATATTTATTTCTGAGTCGCAAAAGCAAGTGATGGTTTGGCGGATTTTTGTACAGCATTGAGAGAGTGGTTTATATATTTATATATAGAGAGAGTTATAGAGGTAGAGATAGAGATATGTTTGCTGTTATTCTTACACTATACTCTGATCTGCTCGTTGGCTGAGTTATATATATATTACAGAGTGCAAAGATATTGGCGATAGTGTAAAAATAATAGTGACTTTGCACAGAACCAAAGTTCAACTACAAAAGAGTAAACTCAAGAGATAAATCAAGAACTCAAGAGGAAGTAAATAACTTGGTTTGGGATTGGGGATTTATCTGGGGTATTATCTGGTTATCGAACTAAAGATATATATCTTACGCTTGACATTGACACAGTTCACAGTTCAACGGTTAGAAACACAATACGAACACATCTATGAGAATCGTTGGGTAATTGGGATTTTTAGGGGATTTGGGGAAGGCACAGAGAAAAATTTATAAATAAATTATATTTAAGCATTAATTTGTAAATAAAATCAATTTGATCTGAGTTCAAATCATTATATAAATAGTTGTCAGAGTGTATTTATAATTTTTTCTCTGTGCTGGGAATCTTTTTTTTAGGGATAAAGGGGTTGAAGGACACTATAGATATACCTTAAGTCGGGGCAACCGACTGGACTTACCCGGGCGGCGAAACTGGTGTTGGGCTTCTCGAGCAGCTCCCACAGATACTTTTGGTATTCAGCGCATTTACCTTCGCCGAACTCCTCCTCGTCCCGCTGCCTGAGGGACTCGGCCTCCTTGCGCATCTCCTCGTGGACATTCTCCTTGCGCTGATGGTACTTGTGCTGGCAGCAGGACTCCAGGTACAGCTCATCAACGCCCCAATACTCCAGGTCATCGCTAAACGCAAGCACGCACATCTCGTCGACGATGTGCAGCTTGCCGGTGCGATAGAAGTTCAGGATGGAGCTGAAGCTTTTCGGATGGCGGTCGAAGAAGTACTCGTTGTCGGCCAGCGAGTAATCGTCGCACAGCTCCACGATGGCCTCGTGGGTGGTGCACTCCCTCAGCCGCCCGAGCCGCGTGTGGGGCAGCCGCTCCAGCGTCCGCCACAGCACCTCGTGCCGGACGCCGCCCACATTGATGGACACGCGACTGTTCACCGCCTTTGACTGGGCTATCATGAATGGCTCGGGCGGCGGTATGGAGGACATGGATCTGGAATGTGTCCGCTGCAGGGCGCCGGTGGTCTGGCTCTGGCTCTGGCTCTGGGTGGGCATGCCACCTGAAATTGATTCACCTCCGCCTCCGCCTCCGCCACCGACGCCCCCGCCACCGATGCTGCCAGCGATCTGCTGTGACGTTGTGGGAATCGAGTGCGTTGGCGATGCGACTGGGAATGGGGCGTAGCGAACCTCCTTGCCTGCTGCTGGTGTTGCTCCTCCTCCTCCTCCTGATGATGATCCTGCTGTGGCTCCTGATCCTGCACCTGCTGCTGAGGCTCCCGCTGATGATCCTCCTCCCGCTGCCGCTGTAGATCCCGCAGAAAGACCTGCAGCAATTCCGGCGGATGGGCCAGCAAGGTGGCCGCCATCAGCGTAATCCAACTGGCGTGCACCAGCGGCACCAGCTGACCCAAGGTGATAAGCAGCGCCGCCAGCTGCTGGGAGAGATCCGAGGCCGAGGCCACCATATGCACCAGCTCCAGCGGCTCCCATTGCCCGCTCCCAGTCGACGTTGCCGCTGGTGTCATAGTACGGCTGATTGTCGGCCATGTCGGCATTAGTTGCAGCTGCATGCTGCTGATACAGGAGTTGCTGTTGCTCCTGATGCTGCTGCTGCTGCAGCTGCTGGTGCTGGTGCTTGTGTTGCTGCTGCAGCTGTTGCTGAAGCTGATGCTGCTGCTGCTGCTGCTTTGAGAGTTGCTGATGCTGAGTCGCTTGTTGCTGCTGCTGTTGCTGTTGCTGGCCAGCAGCCTGTCCACCTTGCAATTGCCCGACCATTTGTAATACTCCATTATTGGTTTGAAGCGGTGTCGATTCACCCGTTGCCCAGCGTACCGCCTCACGGTCCCTGTCGCGTTCGCCGACCATAAGTCTGCTGTAAAATCGGAGGAGATGAAAGAGATTTATAAGCCAGAGAAGTACAGAGAGAAATTATGAGGGGAATTAAAGAAGTCCCTAATGTTAGTATTCTAGAATTTAGTAGATATTATCACATCATAATTTATTTCTTTCATTGAGATTTTTAAGATTTCTATAATTTTAAAACATTTTTTATAATATTTCTTAGCTTGTAAATTCTCATTTCTTCTAGTGTAATTTAGTGTCCTTAGAACTTACCGCTACATCGCGTCAATTGTCGTCATTACAGCCTCCGTTGGTGTGTGTGCTGCCCTGCTTTTCCCCTTTTCCTCAGCTGTGGTCCTCTGCTGCTCCTCCGATTGCTATCGCCGGGGCAATTGATTCCGATTATCCGGCTGGTCAGTATATATCTATAATATATATATCTGCGGCTCTATAAATCGCTCAATTGCGGTCTGGCAGGCTGCTGGCTGTGTCCTTTATCCTCCTTTCGGCCTCCCTCATTTTTGGCTTTTTTGGCTTCCGGGACTGTTCTTTGTGGTCGTGACGTCCTGGGAATTGAACTCTCTCGGACCAAGTGCTCCAGCGGCAATTCTCGTTGTTATGTCTATGATCACAGTTTGTGTTCTGGCCTTGATTCGTGGTTGAAAGGCCCAGGTTCAGGTTGCGTTGAGGTTGAGGCTCAGGCGTGGTTTGGCAGCATTTTGTGGGGGGGAAATAGCTGCAATTTCATAGAGAAAAAGGAAAAGTAAGAATCGCTTATGGGAAAGCAATTATATCTGACCGCATATCGATACCAGATAAGCTGCGTAAATGCCAAGCACCTTAATTATGCGTGCGGTGTAATGAAGCTTTCAGCTGGACAATGGGGCACACAGGCAATGCTAATAAAATAATATTTACTGTTCGAAACTAAACTAGATTCCTATTTAATTAAGGCTACATAAATTAATTTAATTATTTTAATGATAACACCCTCCACTTCATCACTAAATATTCCCTGTAGCACTTCGAGGTCACCGTCATGAATCACTTAGCCAGAAAGTAGTTTATTGAATCACGCTATTTGGTATGCCACGCCCACTGTGCCCACCCATCAGTTGGACTATAAATCAATAGTTGCGGACAACTGATAAGATAGGGAAACCAATCGACGGGTGGAAGTTTCCACCCCCAATTTTCCTCTCACCCGACATGTAGCATACTTTTTGGGGCCAACGGCAATTATCGCATAATTGCATATGCAAATGAATTGCGTTTGTTTGTAGAATTTCGCTTCTCTTATTTATTAGCGTTAATTTGCAATTGCCGAAGGCTATGCCTCTCCATTTAAATGCGTCTATTTTTGGGGTCAGTCAGTGTGCACTGGCCTACGTTATTTGTTGGCCTTTGCCCAGATTCAGTACGACTTTTTTAGTCCGATTTGCCGTCTTTCTGCCGCATTGCAATCAAATTTGAATTTTTACGAACTGCCGGAAATGGCAAGTAATAAGGTCCGGGCATTTCTCAAATGGATTGCCATGCGTATCGCCAGGAGAGAAATGTTAACTGACCTCAGCCAAATGTCTTCATTTGGTATTCAGTCGCAAGTCGCATTGCCAGCAATTCGCATGCAGATTGCAGATTTGTGCGCCACCTGTCACTCTCGCTGCCCTTTCGCCTCGCGTGCACCATGGGTCATGGGTTAAGAGTTATACGAGTTATAGTTATGGCATTATGACGTTGAAACCATATAGTTTTGCTGCATTTTAGCCGGACTAAATTGTTGTTTATTAGCCTCTGACTCCCCCTGACTCCAAGTGGGCACTCCAGCGTTATATAATTGGCGAATGGCAATGGCAAAGCTCAAGCACTCACATTTTTGACAACATTTCTGGCGAGTTTGTTGTGCTAATGGGTAGAGTTTATTTCCCAAAAGGTCTGATGAACTAGAGGGAAATCAGTTTGGAGAAACTATTTTTTTATACCTTTTCAGGGTATTATTATTTTAATCAGAAGATTGTTTCGATGTGAAGGAGTCATTTTCGACCCAATAAACCATTTATATTTATGATCAGCATTTCAAACGATCTAGCCATGTCCGGCGGTGAAAAATTTTGTAAAATTTTTTCAAAATTTCAATAAAAGATAAGGGCTTACATCAGTAAAATTTGCAAAAAAATGAAAATTTTAACATGTTAAACTAAGTATGCAGATTTCTTAACCTAATTAAAACTAGCACAGATCAGCCGAATTGAATTTAATGCCTTTTTGGCTTAGTTACGACTTATTTTATAAATTGATTTGTAAAAAAAAAATGACATATTAAATAGTGCTAAACATGTCAATTAAAATTGTCTTCAAATACATGCAGTAAATTCTGAACATAATTTCTGCCTTCTTAGAGATAAAAATAATGGTAAGAAGTCTTCAGATAATAAAATAATTCAATTTCAAAAGCAAACAAATTGTAAAAATATATATTCCTACCCTTAAAATTCTTGAAATTTATTTATTACACAGCATAGTTTTCGAGGTATAACTTCAGTTGATATTCCTCTTTTTTTTTATTAAATTGAAAGCTTTTGTGCGCTGCTTGAATTTCTCATTTATTTTAATCGCGTGCGAAGCCAAAAGCAAAAGTTTTTCTCTTTACTTTTTTGTATTGCAATTATTTCTGGCGCAAAATGAAACTAAACTGCATGCAAACTCATAGTTCTCCGAGTTGTTTTTTTATATTTTTATTTATTCTGTTTGTTTTGTTTTGTTATTTGGAATGCATGCAACATGTTAGCCCCGCAGCTCGACAATTAATTCTCAGCCCAGAACACAGCACAGGATGAGTATGAGTAGAGTGTGTGTGTGGTGTGTGTTTGTGTGTGAAGTGGCCAACTTCACCTTGGAACCTGTTGAATTGCCTTGAAGCTAAAACGCCGTGGCAGAATGCAATTAATTTCCCATTTTAATGAGGTGAGACCTTTTCGTTGTTCCAGCGAAACTTGGTCACAAGACAAGGACGGCGAGCAATTTTCTTTTTGACTGCTTCTGGCCTTGTCATAAAAACTCGGCCAGATAATGGCTGCTAAAATTTATGACAACACCCACTCACACACACACACACACTCACCCCAAGACGGCATTTAGTGCGGGGCCATAAATCTGCAAACATAATTTGCTAACACGTATGCACAACATTACAAAATGGCCACTTAATTGCCCTCAAATTGTTTGACATTGTCCATCGGCGTCCGCCGAAGCCTTGACTTTTCCCAGACATTTCCCAACCATTCTCTTCTCGGGTTACTACAAACACAAAAAGGACTTTATAAAGTTGCCTTGGCGAAATTTGATGACAAAGCCAAAAGTCTGGGGAAGGCGGCAACGCACATGTGTGATTAATGATTTCTTTGCTTTGTTGACGCTAATTGAAAAATGTTGGCCAAACATCAGCGAAAATAATTAGCCAAGTCAGGGATGGAGGGGGAATTTTCAGGCACTGATTGAAGACTTTAAATCTGACGCAGGAGAAGGTGATGATCGATTATGCAGACAATGAGCCATAAAATTTTGCTTGTCACATAAATTAATTGAAAATGAGAAAGGAAGCTAAGTTCGGGAAGCAGAAGTTTAGAAACCCCCTGCAGTTTACTATAGAATTTAGGAGCTTAATATATTCGGCTGTTAATTCTGATCAAGAATGTATTTATTTTTTATATTTATCGGGTTGAAAATGACTCCTTCCCTGTGTTACAAGCTTCTGAATAAAATTATAATACCCTTGCAAGGATATAAATATTTGCTCTAGTAAACCTAAAGTAAAAATATATAAAATATTGCTTAAATAATCTCCGACTTTAAGGACCCCTAGCCTGGCTCAAGTTAGACAAAACTTGCGGCTCAAAGAAACTGCCATTCCTTTTGCCATTACCCTTCTCCCCCTTTTTTGGCAACCAAAGACCCCCGCAGGACAACAAGATACATTGCATCAAATGCCAAAAATCCACTTAAGTGCTAAAAGCAGCGAACTCCGAGCATTTCCATTTGCATATTGCATGGCGGAATGTTTCCTGGCTTTCGCCCGGGGGCAAGTTGAAGGGTTGTGCGAAATGGCCAGGACGAAAACAAAAGCGAAAACTAAAGGCAACTAAATCCGGCTGAGGAGGGAGGGGAAAAAAGGCAATACAAATATGTACAAAAGCGTGTCAATGTTGCTCTGCCCGTAGCTCTTGTTATGCCAATTGTTGTTACAGTGTTCTCCCATTGTTTTTCCGCTTGCGAGTGGCAAACATTTATTGCCGACCCTCTCTCCAGCGTCGCCAAAGCTAGCGCCATTGCCATTGTCTAAATTTATGGGCGCCATTTTGTTTTGTTTGGTGCAAGCATTTTGCAAGTCAAGTGTATTTATTTTTAAATGCTCTGCAATTGCCGCGAAGGGCGACCCCTTTTGAAATGTGCGTCAGCGGCAACCTCAACACTACAAGTCCGTGCGAAAATGCTCGGTGTCTTGGTGTGTGCCGGGCTTCCTTTCGCCGGCAGCGGGTCTTCCCCAATTCGACGCCATTGACTTCCGGCCGCAGCCACATCCGCCGACCAGCTGACCCTTGTCAGCACAGAGAGAAAATGTGATAGAGTTTAGCTAAGAATTGTGGCGGGAAATTAGAAAAGAAGAAAGATTGTAGGGACTTCAAATGTATGATAATCTCACGTAGATAAGCTCGTCTCTTGATGGGAATTAAGAATATAAATTGTTTATAGCTTCTACCTAAAATTTGAAACCCTGCAAGGATATAAAACGAAACAAAAAACTCTTTTATTCAATTGCAACACTTTTCTATTTCTTTCAGTGCTCTGTCCTAATTCTATTTTGGCCACGAAAATGTGCGAGGGGCGTTCGAACGAAAAGTTAGTGGAACTAACACTCACGTCTCGGCAGCACACTTTCCATTTTCTGTAAATTTAAGCGAGTTACTCTAATTGTGTTCGCTGCCTTTGCTTTGCTCTCCCTTTTCCTTAACTTTTCTAGCTTTTCTTTTGCGTGCCACAGCGACTTATTGGCCATTGGCATGCAAGCTGCTGCTGCTTCTTCTTCTTCTTGCTGTTCCTCTTGACCAACTTGACTTGGCCTTGGCTAACATTTAAGCCATATACTATATGCATATATATATATATATATAAATATGTGGGTGCTTCCACTTTCGCTCATTTGTTGCACTTGGCACAGCATACTTTCCGGGGCATTTGTGTATTAACTTAATTGTTTTTATTGGGTATTACGCGGCTTTATGGTCGCTAGGTCCTGCAGCCCGGTATGGCATGGCGTCATCTTGAACGGATACCTTGAATCCCTGGATACCAAAATCGATGGCAACCGGGGGTGTGCCACGCAGGAAAGGTGTCATTAACCCGACGGAACAAATTGCTGTCTGCCGCGAAGCGAACCGACTCGACTCGACTCGACGGTTAATATCTGCAGTGCGTTCGTCACTTTAATAGCTTTCCCGCCGCTTGTTGCTGTTGTGTTCTGGCCTTTATGGCTCTTTACCTCCTCCGGCTCTGGTTCTGGCTCTGTTTTGGCCCTGTCAACTGCGCAGTTCGACGGAGCGCATCAAATATTCATAATCAACTTTGGGCCATTGGCCGTTTTGCGTTAACGCTAACGGTCTACCTGTCCAGCCATATATATTCCCCATACTTATATGTTCTATTGATTTTCGATTATGGCCAATGTACACCCCTT